AGTGTTTTGGTTAAAGTCGATTTTTGAGATAACAATTTTGAGTTGGTAAAGTTTTTGTGCTCCCCGCTACATTTTCCCCCTTGTTTTCGTTGATCGATGAGGTCTTTAAATCATGTGTGCTCAGTTGTTTCATGTCTTGTTTGTGTCGAAGCATTTCTAGTTCATCTATGTTTATAGTTCATCATAATTTTTTTGACTTGGTAGGATGTTTTACAAACTGGTATGATAGACAAGTACGAAGGCGGTAAAATATATGAAATTCCACTCGGTGGAACAATTATAGAGTAGCCATTTTCTATTGGGGTATGTTATTCTTGTCTAAGCTAATTAAGCTCCCCTTTCAACTTTAGATATCAGGTTGCCATTAAAATGTATATGCTATATGAGATACTTCCCTTGGGCATTTCTAGGTTAGTAATGTATCATTGTGGACCTACCTAAACTCTACAGGTAATCTAATGGTAATCTGGGAGTTGGATTTGACTTGTCTTGTTAATTGATTTTATTTGAATGAGCCGCAAATACATGTGGAGTACTTATTCACGAGTTCATAAGTAGCAGGGTTTAGTATCGTGTCCTAATTGTAGGGAAGGATGGTCGACTACACTCATGTTGATATTAACATGGTTTTGTAATGTGTATAATTGTTTTGAAGCTCTGTTGGTAATATAATTGAAAATGGCTCATGTTTAACGATTTTGTTACTTCAGGATCTGGCTCCAGTTATTTGTATGGATTCTTTGACCAAGCATGGAAAGAAGGAATGACCATGGATGAAGCTGAGGTATGTATTCCTTGTTATATGTGAATGTAAGAATCAGTTGCAGCCTTGAATGGATTGGGTGTTAGGTCCCTTATTTTTTTCATGCGCTTGTGTTATTTTTCTTAAATATACTCTTACTGAGAAAGCATTTCCTTTAGTAAGCTTGATATGAGTTCTTTTTTTTTTTATAATGAATTTCGAGTTTCTTGATAGACTTTTGTATGATTTAGAGATGGAAATCTTGAAGGGGTGTTAGTATATATTGAATTTGAAATGTTTTTGCACATATTTAATGATGTTGGACCGAGTTTTTGAAGTGGAAAAATGATTCCGAAGCTATCCTGTTGTTTTAATCTTTGAATAAGCATTCAGTATGCTTTAAACTTGCTTAAAATGCATATAATGTGTTTGTTGAAATGTATAGTCGTCTTATATGTCTAAAATGCCTACTGTGTTTTTATGGTTGTTTATTATTGTGCCTCATTATGTGATCTTTTGTTTGTTTTTAGATTCTATTTCTTGTCTGTCTTGGTAAATCTATATCTATGATGTTCAATGAAATGATGCTCATAGTGTGCATAATGTTTATCATCCTAAACTTGTGTTTGTTGGTCTTGGTTGTGAGATGCTTTAATTAATGTGTTCATTTAGATTTTTGATTTAGCATGTGTTCATTTGTTATTTTGTTGGCTTTTGTTATTTCCTACAGGTCAATAGATAGTTTGTTCAGTTGGATGGAGTTTTTCTAAAGTTGGAGCACAAAATGAATGAGGATTTTTGAAACTTCCAACTTATGGAAAATTTGATGACTAGTCACATTCCCTCTAATAGCTAGCTACCTTTTAGTTCTTTTGTTTTCTAGATTTGCTCTGAACTTCGTATACAGTGAAGAAATAGTTGGCAAGTTGAAAACATTAGTATGGATTGATTACTTTCCTTATTGTATGGATTAGTGAATTATATAGTGAAGGTGGTATTTGACTATTTGGTGTACTTGTAAAATTCAGCATCATACATAATAGTACATCAGTGCATTATTCATTTGAAGTTCTATAAGCAATTCAAATAGTTAACCAAGATGCATGGACTTGTATATTGATTTTAAAAATTAACAGGTACTTGATAGCCATTAAAAACTGCAATAGAAACTAAAACATAGCTAGTCGGAATAGCTATAGATGAGCCTTCTACAGCATTGCATTTTGAATAGCAATTAAAAAACGTTATAAAAGCTATGGACTTTTAATAGCGTTTAATAGCGTCAGCTGTACTAGCGTTTGGTAAAACGCTATATTAATGGTTTAATAACGTTTTCCATCAGCTATTGAAAAGGATTTTTCTTGTAGTGGGGTACTGACAATCTCGATAGACATTAGAAAACATGCTTACCATTACATTAAGGTGGTAGTGTAGACTTCCGCCAACAAACACTTTCACTCATAAATCAAGGCTTACAAAATTTTTCATATGATGCACAACGTGCTCGTGAGGCACTAGCTAAATTTTTAGCTAATGTCGAATTATCATTGTCTTTTGCAGATGATACAGTATTTGAAGAATATATTCAGACTGCATTTTGTCCAATATTTAAAAAGGTTAGTAGAAACACAACTAGAGTTGATTGTAAAAAGTTTTTTTATGTAATGAGACAAGCACTTGTTGATAATTTTAAGTCTTTTAATGCTACAATCTCTTGCACATCTGATCTTTCAGAGGGTTGTAATAAAACTGGTTATTTATGCGTCACGGTTTATTATGTTGACGAGGATTGAGTTTTGAAAAAGTGAATTATTAGTTTTCGTTTATGTCATTTTCCACATAATGCAATTTTTTCTACTATTATGGAAATTTTTAATTTTTATGGTATTGAAAATAAAGTTTTAACCATTACTTTTGATAATGCGTCAACAAACACAACTGTTATCAACATGTTCAAAGTAAATTTGAAACCACTTTTGGTGAAGAATTTTTTCATCAATGTTGTGCATGTCATATCATAAACTTAGTAGTCCAAGCTGATATTGAAACTATATCCCATCATCTAATTAAAATTAGAGAGGCGTTATCTTTCATCTCTAGTTCGGGAGCTCGGCTCTAAGAATTTTGCTAATATTGCAGGAATAACCATATGAGGCTAAGAAAGTTTCTAATAAATGTTCGACATAAGTGAAAATCCATCTACTTAATGTTGAAAACTGCTATTCCGTATCAACGGATAATCACTACATGTGTGAATAGTAAGCAAGGTGAGCATTTTATTTATGATACAGATTGGAAGATTAGTGAGTACTTTTTAAAATTTTAAGAAGTATTTTACATTGCTACTGAATTACTCTTTGGTGTGTATTATCCTACTGCTCATCTTGCTTTGTATCAATTATTTAATATTTCTAAAACGTTTGCTTATTATAGAGATACTAATCTTTTTACACACATAGTAAATAAAATGAAAAGAAAATTTAAAAGTTATTAGGCCGGTTGTCCAATTTTATATGCATCAGCAATAATTTTAGATCCTAAATGTGGATTAGATGGGACAAAATCTTTGATGTCTGCTACAATAGATAATTTATCTATTAATATGGAACTAACCATTGATGATGCAATGAAGATGTTAGAATAATTGTTTGCATTGTATGAAAAAAAATATGGGACATGACAATAACAACAATCAACTTCGATGTCAAAGAGTAGTTCAGGGCCTAAAGGTTCATTGTGGAGCTTCTTGAAGAGAAAAGAGAAAGCATCAGGATCATCATCAAACATGGACTGACTTCAGAACTTGTCAAATATTTTGGGTCAAATTTTGTAATTGATGACGATAAACTAGACATCTTACAGTGGTGGAAGAGCAAGTAAGATCGTTTTCTAACATTATCCATTATAGCACGTGACATTTTGACAACTCTAGTGTCCACAGTAGCATCAGAGCAAACATTTAGTGCAAACAATCAAATTCTTGATGATAAGAGGATCAAAATGTACTTGGATATCTTGGAGGGGCATGAAAGACTGGGAAGATACAAGAAGACGAAAATAACATTGCAGATGATACACTTCTAGACTATTTTTTAAACTTAAACATAACAAAATCTTCTAGAAGCAATTTGGCCACAGTGTAATTTAATTATCCTTGTATACTACACTTTTTTTCCTTCGCTAAGGTTTTATCCCGATCTCCCCAAGGGTTTTATATTTTGGGTCAAATTTTATAATTGATGACGACAAACTAGACATTTTACAATGGTGGAAGAATAAGTAAGATCGTTTCTCAACATTATCCATTATAGCAAGTGACATTTTGACAACTCTACTGTCCAGAGTAGCATCAGAGCAAACATTTAGTGCAAACAATCAAATTCTTAATGATAAGAGGATTAGAGTGTACATGAATATCTTGGAAGGGCTAATGTGCATGAAAGACTGGAAGATGCAAGAAGACGAAAGTAACATTGTACAGATGATACACTTCTAGACTATTTTTTAAACTTAAACATAACAGAATCTTCTAGAAGCAATTCGGCCATAGTGTAATTTAATTATCCTTGTATATTGCACTCTTTTTTCTTTCGCTAAGGTTTTGTCCCGATCTCCCCAAGTGTTTTACTTGACAAGATTTTTAATGAGACAATCATTTATGTGTATGTATTAATATTATTTCAATTTAACAAAATCACATCTTTTAGAGACATATGATATATTTCTTTTTTTATTAAATATGATAACAAATGCGAATCCAATGCAATTCGGTCACCAGTCCATGCTCAACGGCCATAGATTGGACTTTTGAGCTTCACCAGCTTGAAAAGGGCCAGAGCCAGCCTGTGAAGGGCCTAGGCCCGGGCTCAGTCCGAGCTGACCCTAGCCCTTATGGACAAGGGCCGGGGACCAAAACTGGGCATGAGGGTCTTCCCTTAAGCTCGATCCAGACAAGGCCCTGTATTGTACAGAGTCACGCCTAGCCCAACCTAAACCTGTGTCGGGCCTGGGGTTAGAAGGGCCGTGCCGGCCCGGCACGGCCCTTTCCACACCTCTATCACAGCCTTATAGGAAATTAGAGGAAATTATGCGCGCAAATTTCTCTCATAAGTTCACTTCTCTATCACTATCGAATAATAACCTCCCACGTGTCATTTTCGCTGTACCTCACCATGCCTTGTTTGCTTCGTACTCTTTCTTGTTTACATTCCCTAATCACAATTAAGATACGTTTTCAAAGCAAATTAAAATCATTAAATTAATGATTAGATTCTCTCTCTTCCTATCTTTTTCTCTGTAGAACTCACTCGGTGACTGTGTGACTCAGTGCGGATCGCCACCATGATGAAGCGCGTTTCTTCTGCGTCTTCGCCGCGGAGCTCGTCAATGGCGTCGACAATCAAAGCGTACTTAGTGCCTCTGATTCTGTTTTTTGGGGCCATTTTCTACCAAGTCGTCGTGATTCCCAATTCCTTCCCTCCATCTCACTACGACGGTAAAGTTTTTCTCACTTCACTCGTAATTCTCTTTCTTTCTGTCTCTAACGCACTCTGAAATACACACACACACACACACACACACACACACATATATAGATATATATACGCAGAATATATGTATGTGCTTACTGAATAGTGGTTTTGCTTGGTGAATTTGTAGTTCTGCAAATTAGGAAATACAGTTCTATTGAAGAAGTGAGAGAAGCCTACGAAAAGCTTTCCTCCAAGTGGTAAATTCTGCGATTTCCATTGCCTCATTATGTTATTTATTTATTTTCAATTGGATATTGTATAAAATTTTTTTTTCTTTTATGTGAAGTTCCTGAATTCTGCTAATAAAAGCGAGTATATGTAGAATTTAGCTCACAAATAGTGAGACTGCATCTTTTCGCTCTTTACGAGTGATTTTTTTTTTTTTTTTAATGTTGTCGTATAACCAGGAATTTTTTTATTTCAGGAATTCGGGGGTAGAAGTTCCTGTAACTCATGATTTTATAAAGGTCAGAAACATTTCTTGCCTTTTGATTTTGGAGGTTATTTGTTTATTGAGGAGTTTCTCTTACATATGAAAGAGGTTTTAAGGTTTTAAGGATTAGTTGAACCATGAAAAGTTGAATAATATGCCTTTTCGGTTTGTCAATTTAGTAAGAAAAGTATTTTATATGATTATTGATGTTTCATCTCTTCTTGGATCTATGGTTTTCCTATCATCATCTTTATCCCAATTGATTTTTATGGGATTGCTTATATTTTACAGATTCAATATGCTTATGAGTTGCTGACAAATCCATCATGGAAAAAGAACTACGATATATTTGGTATCGATGAACATCTGGTGAGTTTTCAATGTCCAACTAATAAATGTGAAAGTTCTATTCGTTAGTTTGTGAACATTCTGTTGCTTATTTCTTTTCTGTACTTCATAGGATGTTCTTGAGAAGGCGAAAGAACAGTTTGCTGGTCGTAGGTTTTTGGCAGTAGACCTTCCGTTGCTGGATTCTTCAGGTGCTGATTCGTTAAGACCCCTTACATTGATTTTATTTGGGAAAGATTAATAATATCTTTTTGCATGAAATTAAAGTGTTTTAGACTGATGCACATGTACTCTTATCTTTTCAGGTACAGAAGATCACCATCATAATGTCATTACCGCTAAGGATTTTGAGTCCCTGTTTCAGGATACCAAGCCATTGCTAATTCAGGTACAGTTACTCTCTAAACGTGTATCAATTTTCATGACTAGGGTAACCAGAATTTACTTTTATTTTTCCATCGAATTACCCTCACTGCGTCCCGCCCGTCTATTTAATCTGTTTTTGTTGCTCAAATTGTTGAGTCAACAAGCCTATATATTCAACATTTGGATCAAATATATCAAGGTTACGTAGTTTATAAGTCGTGTGTAGCTGTGCACTTAATTTGGAAGAACTCTAGTTGACAACAACAATTCTTTTAGTTTGAAATCTTATTAGTTGATTGGGGTAGAATGAATTGCAGATGCTTAAATGGAGGATTGATCTGTTACTGTCAGCGTTAATTGGAAGACTATATTATATAGCCATGCGCATGTATATGCCAAATATTATCAGAGAAAACTTGTGTTTTAATTTATGTGTGTGTGTGTGTGTGTGTATTATCAAACATGGTATCAAAACATAGAAAAACGTTCTGACCTTCTAAAGGTCAAACAGTGCAGTCGTCTAACATTTAGAATCATTAACAACTTACAAAGATGTTCAGCAGACTTGTGATTCTCTCTCCTCGGCCTTTTGGTTTAGAAAGGAGGTGGGGATAGAGCAAGCTTGTCTCACATGAGGGGAGAAAAAGAAAAACCAAAAAAGTTTAAGTTTCTGAAATGCAGTTGCTATGTGCATACTGTTTCCTAGATTTTGGAGTACAGAGGTCCAGTCTTAAGATTCTGATTTAAATGGGAACCTTATACTGCCTTTCATATTTGATATTCTGTTGCACAATGCAGCTTTTGTTGTACTAATTGCATTTTCATTGACAATTTGGATCAGTTGTTTTCTTCTGGGAGCAAGAGATGTCTTCAGTTTTTTGATGCCTGGAAAAGAATCAGTATGTCCTTGCTTATCTATTTACTTTATTTATGTCTGCAATGGTTTACAAAGAATTTTTTCGGTATGTAGTTACGTCAGTAGCATAAAGAGAGAATTATACTCTTACCTTTATCCTATCTTGAAAGAGGAATTTATATTCATGTTTGATGCACTTTATAAGTCATTAAGCAAAAGACTCAACCAATCTAGTAATGTATTATCGTTTAGGGATGTAAATACAGTCAGGTATTGCTTTTCAGTCCATAAACTAAAAGATAAAACGTAAGGATTATTCATAAGAATGTCTTACTATTTAGGGATTTCAAATGAGACAAAGTGAACTTAAGGATAATTCAGGCGGCAAGGATGCATTTAACCCGTTATTTCAATTCCTAATATTGTTTAATGTAATACCAATTTCAGTAAAAATTGGAATGTAGTACATGCTATTATATCAACTTGTAGGTTATTGGCTTTAGCTTTTCTTGAGATGCACATGTGATGAATGGTTGCGTTGCTCCAATTGTTGCCTATTTTCCTTTGAATTTGTTGTTATATGAATGGTTATCGTTCACATTTTTTCGAGAGGTATGGAAGTAATATTTTGAAATATTTAATGCTAAAGTGTTCCTCTTAAAAAATGTTTGAGTTGTTAATACAACAGAATTCATGTATAAAAAGTTAACTGCTGCGTGATTTCTAATTAATATGATTGTTCATTTTACTTTTTGATATAAGCTTCTTTGTTGGACGGAGTTGCAAATACCGCTTCTGTGAATCTTGAGGAGCTTCAACTAGTGGCATACCTTGCGGAGAAGAAGCCAACAGGACGACCTTTTTTCAGGAATCGTATGTGATTTGTTACCATTTTTGCAGAATGATTTAGGCAAAGCTTTTGTCAGTTATCAGTTAACTGTAAGGTCTTGGATTGTGGGACTAGAAAGTAATAAATTTACTTAACATTATTCATCTATATAGAAATGGTTCACAATATTTACGAATTAGGTGGATGGTGCTTCATTTGTAAAAATTGAACAGGTTTTAGGTTGACAATGTTGCTTCAGCTATGAATAGCATTATTAGGACTGTGGTTTTGTTGGTGGCAAGATCTTTAATAGTTTACTTTCAAGCAATCCTATCTATTGACGCACAGTGTACACCCTAAACTAAATGTCTAAAACATACCATGCCAATAGCAGTGGAGGTTCTTTTGTAATATTGTTATATACGTCTGAGGCATAACATCTCTTTCTCTCAGACTCTGTCACATTTCTTAGCAAAATTTTGTTAATTGCGAGAATGTTTTTTAATTAAGGCCCCATTCTTTTCATAGTTCAAAGCACAATTCAACCTTTTTCCTACAGTATTTTCTCTTACAAAAATCTAAATTTCAATTCAAGTTTTCAACATGAACCCGCGAAACGGGGCCTAAGAATCTCACATTGGTTTAGAACTCTAATACATATGTTTGTGTGCCCTTTTTCATCGATCTATTTCATAATTAGCAATCTTCCCCAAGTTAGCATCACAACTATTCTACCAGCTACTGCGCCAATATTGAGTTATATATCTACTAGATTTGTTAAGGCATGGAATGTTATTTGATGTTTTCAGGGTTTAAATCACTAGTTCATTTTTCTGTTAGAAAATCTTTCATATTTTCAGGCATGTCGTGCTCACTATGTCATGTACCTTCTAATAAACGTGTACAGGCATTCCCTCTCTTGTTGCTTTTCCCCCAGGCTGTAAAAGAGTTGAGTGTCTTGTTAGGTGAGCTTTTATAACTTTTTTAATGTTGTATCTACGTAACGGGAAGATAATGTTACTTTTCCTCTCAAAAATGTCCTGTAGTTCATGATTGCTCTTTTAAACGTAGTATGATGGTTTTCAGGTATGATGGGGAGCTGACTGTTGATGCAGTTACAGATTGGTTTGCTACAAACATACTTGGTTTACCCCGAATTTTTTACCACTCAAAAGAGTCACTGGTAATGTTTTTTATAGTACAAGTTACAGTTGATTTTACCTCTTTCCCCACCCCCACCCCCTTTTTGCATAACAATTTTAAGTAAAAGTGTAAGATTCAGCTGGATCATGCTTTATTTGTCAAAAAAAAAAAAAGAAAAAAAAAAAATCATACTCTCATCTTTCTTCGCGCCCCCATGTGACATCGCAAGTGGCTTTTAGTTCACTCTCTACTATGTTTTACATCTCAAAACAAACTACTTGTAATGACTTACCTTGCTCTTTTTCCTTTCAAAAAGTTTTTATGTCACATTATAACCAATCATAAAATCATGTGATATGTGTTTTGTTTCAGGGACCAAAATTTCTGGCGACCGTAAGTCCTAATAAGGTAGGCCTAAAGTTTCAATATTTCATTTGCAAATCTACAACATTTACACACATTAGTTTGATTTCTTTGTTTCTTGGTAAAACGCAGTCAATTATCCAGTTTTGTAGCTGCAAGTTTGTTTAGCATCTCTTATTAATTGTTGCATAATATGTTTTCCTTTAAGGATGTTACTTCCCTCTCACCAATTTAGTTAACATCTTCACTTTTGTTGTGCTTACTACTTTGGGTGTATGTGTTTGTGTGTGTGTGTGTGTGTGTGTGTGATCGGTGGGGCTGTGCATGTTTATCTCTGTGTGTGTGCATAGCTAAGAAACTTATAAACTTCACTGATTAATGTCTTGATGCTTTTGGGTCTAGGTAAAAGTCATCCTCTTCTCAAGAACAGGGGAGCGTGCTTCTCCATTTGTGCGCCAAGCTGCTAAAATTTATTGGTCTGATGCTTCCTTTGCATTTGTGCTATGGCGAGAAGAGGAATCTTCCTTTTGGTTTAATGCGTGAGTGGATCCACCTTCTTTTTGTGTCGATGAGAGGTTTTTTTTTCTTGAATTATGGGACATTTTCGTTGTTGGCAACAGGTTTGAGGTGGAAACTGCACCCGCAGTAGTATTTCTGAAAGATCCAGGTGTCAAACCAGTTGTATACCATGGTATCGTCCTCTCTTTTACTCAGGACCTCTATAAAAAATTTATTTGACTTCTTTGTTTCATGAATTCATCTTACCAAATGTGGTTATTCATTTTGCAGGAGCGATTAACAATTCACAGTTTTCAAGTATCATGGAACAGAATAAAAAGATGGGTAAACGATCATCACTTCTGCGTTCTTAATTGTATAATTTAGTTTTATGCATCATTCGGCTGCCTTTCCACATTACATTAACAATTAATTTAACACGTGGAAGCTTCTTTCACTGTTTCATTTCATGCCTTTAATGCACTTACCTACTTAGACACATGTTTGATAAGGAAAACACCTGCAAGTGCTGGTTACTTGCGTGTACTGCCTACATATCTGTTATCCATACATCTCTTTTCATCTAAAATTACAAGAGACTTTTTATATTTTTGTACTGTATGTTTTCCGCCCTTTTCATATACCGTGGGATTCCTCAAAAAACAGTAGGTTAAGGTGGTGATTTAGCACCGTCTATGTGAAATATTCTTGTCTGTCCCCGCACGTGTGTTTGTGTCTTGTCTTCTTCTTGTGATTTAGCAAGGGTGAATTTCCACTAGATGAAGTATAATAAGCATTATGAATGCAATTGGAGGTTGAAATCACATGCTTGATTGACCACCATTCCGTGTTGTCACTAACAGGTAGTAAAAGGTATGTCACTAAGATGAAAAAGTTCGTCAGTATATTTTCAAATGAACTGCTTATTTTTAGGTTGGTCAACTTCCATGGGCTTAAGGTAACACAACCTGTGTGCCTGTGTTACACTGATACCCAACCTCCCATCTGATGCTTGTGTCAATCTTCTTTTGCTTTCCACTTTAATTTGTTACATTCTGCTTCACAAGTTGCTGTTTGTTGCTAAATTATGAAGACAAAAGGATTGAACTATTTCTCATGTTTTATAAAAAGTTCTTGGTAAAGGAAAGATAGAGAGAGGCCCTTTTTCATTTGTCTAATTTGTGTTTTCAGAGCTTCCTCAGTTGAGAAGTACAACATCGATGGATTTGGGCTGTGATCCCCGTGGCTATTCTTGTGCTGGACACGATACCTCTACTTGGTATTGTGCTATTCTTGCAGGAAGGCATGGCCCAGAACTCAATAAAATGCGTGAAGTAAGCATCTTTCCCATGTTTATGTTGTCAACTTTTCACAGTTTGCCACGAATTATTTAGCACTTAAGTTTATAAGTTTCCACAAGATTTTCAAGGGCCTGATGAAATGACATCATTTCACACGGTTCTCATCTGCATTCAATGTATTGATCAAGTTTAACAACTGGTGTGAATTACATAAATTCATAGACCGTACGCAGGGTTCAAGAAACACTGTCACGTGATATTGAATCAAGTGCATTGGATAGTGATCAATCCATGGAACCAGCATCAGTTGCTCTCAGAAACAAACGGCTGACATTCGCTTGGCTTGATGGAGAAGCGGAAAAGGTAAAATGATATCATTTTCCTTTTACTGTGCTTTTTCTTGGCTGTTGGTTACAAGTTTTATTCCAGAAAATTTATTAGTTGCAGAAAATGGGGGGCCAGTTGACAGGACCTCACTAATTTTTAGAACTTGATTTTTGTCCAGAGATATTGTTTCTTCTACCTCAATCATGAAAGCAGCTATGATACTTGTGGACCAAGGAGAGATCTGACTGATGTACCTCGGTTATTTATTGTGCGCTACAAAAGAAATGCTAGTGAAGAGATAGTGAAACCTGAGAAAAAACAAAAAACCATATGGGATTCCTTACAAGACCAGGACTTGGATCCTGCATCACAACTTGTGGCAAAGTACAATGGTTCAGATGACATTCAGGAGGTAAGAATCAAATATTTGGCACTTTGCATGCTTTTGAATGTAATTAGATATCTTAACTATCATTTTTTGTAAGTTTTCAATAAGTGGCTTAGTGGCTTTCTTTACTACTCCTTTCATAGTTTAACTAATTTCCTAGTTGTCATGAGTTTGACAAATGTTGAGTGTTAAATTGAAGGTTTTCAGCTTTAAAGAAACTTATTACAAATTTTGACATTGGCTGTAGAAACTTTAAAATTTTATGAGCTGATAATGATACCGAAATACGTCTGCCTCACTTTCTTTTCATCTTTGTTTTTTTATATATATTTATTTATTTCTGCAGATCAAGAAATGGATATCTCAAATAATCAGGGATGGTGACTCTAGGGATCTTCCCCATTATGTAAGCCGCTTGTTTATTGCCATAAGCAAATTTTATTTTATTTTATTTTTTAAATTCCTATAAGCAAAAGAGTCATCTTCTACTTGTGAATCTAGAACTATTTCTCCTGTACTTCATGTACTTGAACTGGTCAGAGATATAACTAGTTTTAGCCCTTTATGCCTTCTGGGATTTCTATTCATTTAAGCCTGTCCGCCTCAAATGCAGAGAACAAAAACTCCTGATCTGGTTACCGAGGATTCAAAACCTATCTGGTCTAAAGGTGCTCAAAGCTTTCCTTCTACATCCACGATGAAGCAGGGTGTTCGTGGCTTTATAACCAAAATCTACGATCTCACTGGAGATCCAAGGATTGGTCCCATGCTGCTTTTGGGGGCTTTATTGTCCTTTGGTACTATCTGGCTGAAGAGAAGTCAGCCTACACAACAAGCTGACCAACCAGAGTCTAACCGGTTGGAGTCTAATCAATTGGAGTCCCATGAACCAAGTCAACCAAGCTATAAGGTAAATCGTATATCCCTTTGAAACGTCTTCAGACCTTCACAATAAAAATATATCGTTGGATGCATCATCTATGTGCACAACTTGTATGATAAGCTATTTATAACTTTCTATCGCAAACATGGAAACACACAACATTTCTTTTTGTACGTGCACACTAGTAGTACTTGTATGTTTTAAATACTCCTCCAAATCTTATCATCATACCTGCATACTCATATTTTAAACTTTTTGTTGCATTATAGATTCAGTGAGTCTAATTTAGGAAATCAAGCATTGCTTTATCTTGAACGTGCTAATGCTACTTGTGAGCCCAAACGTCTCAATAATTGGCTTATTGCACTCTCTTTTTTTTTTTTTTCTTCGCGGTCTCGGAGTGTTATAGGTTACTTGGTGGTCGAATAACGTTGTATTTTGTTCCAGGATGAGACTAAAGCGAGGTGGAGAGCACGAGCAAGAAAAGCGACGAACGAAGGTCGTTCTCCTTCCATCACAGATGATGAACCCAAAGATGCTTACCAAATGCCATTTTCAGATTCCGATTCTGACTAGTTCGATGATGAACATTATTTTGAATGTCACAAATCCTTGACCAATAGCCAAAATAGTTGTTGAGTTAGCTATCTCGTCACAGAGAATTTGTCCCCGCCTTAATTATTGAAGGCATAAACACGATCTTTGAATCCTCAATACTGAAGCTATAGCTTTTGCTCTCACCTTCCTTTTTTTTTTCTTTTTTTTTTCAGGGTATAGCTTTTGGTCTTTTATAGTTTCTCATGTAATTTTCCTTTTTTGAGATACTTTGTTTCTTTTTCTAGACGTCTTACTCTTACATGATGATTCTGTTAAATTTTGCTTTCTATACGAGATTTCAAACATTTTTTACAATAATAAATTAATAATAGGCTATTAATTCAGTTACAAGTATGTTTTATTGTCTTTGATATGTGGTCTTGTGTGCACTGTGTACTTTTTATACTGGTTCAATCTTATTGCACTTGCATCCCAAGTACCTCCAAATGTTTAGGTCATGTTCATTTCACCGATTCGAGTTTAGAATTTAAATTTATTACAGTAAAAAGCTCTCAGAAATAGTTACATTTAACTTTTTTACTACAGTAAAAAGTTCTCACATAAAATTACATCTCAATTCAAATTAAAATCTCGAATCAGCGAATTAAATTGGCCCATATTATCTTTATTACTTCTGTCGAAGAAACGTAATTATACAGAAAAATGTGCACCTTGTCTCCTATATATATATATATATATATTAAACTATATATATTATGTAGGGCTTGTTTTGACATTGTTCTTCCCGGCTTTTTTTCTGAATTTTTATTAAAATTTTTGTAACAACATTTTTTTGAACTACTTAGTGAGGCATGAGTGAAATTTAATCTTAAAAATATAAATGCGAGTTATGTTTATGAATTTAATTAAAGTTACAAGTTTCAAAATCTTATTAGAATAGATTTATAGAACCACGAAGCTAAAAGCAGCTTCCAAAACAACAATATATCAATTTGAGTCATAGTACAATAAGAATACTAACAACATGTATATGCATTAACAAAATCAAACGGATTGGATACAATGTGACCCATTTTTCTACCGATTGAGAATAGGGTCGAGACGAAATTGGCCTATCCACTATTATTTTCTTCTCTAATTTGCAAAATTCATGTTAAGTTATCGTATCGTAATTACGTGTCAATCAGACTCAAATTAATCTATTATGTGAAAACAATTTACGAGTGAATAACAACATAAATTTAATTAGTTCAAGCAACTTTAACAACTTTTTGTCATAGATCAATTTCGTCCAAATTTTTAGGTGGAGGCTCATCCCCCTAACATTTGAATAGATACGGTAAAAATACCACATTTCAAAATTTGAGGGGTAAATTGGGAAATAAATTGTCCAAAATTTAGACTTTTTTCCCAAGAAAAAAAAAAAAAACAATAACCCTAAACTTATTTTTTTAATGAAAAAGAAAAATAAAAGTTAAAATAAAATAAAAACCAGGGGCACCTCAACGCACGCCCTCTACAAGACAAGTCAATCGAGCTCTCTTTTTGCAGCTTTCATAAACACTGTCCTCTGTTGGTGAAGTCCTTAATTGAGTACTCTAGAAGGTAAATAAATCTGAACTTGGATTTCCGTATTAATGGAATTGGATATTATTTTGCGTCCCCATTGTTTGAATTCTCTATAATTACAGAAAGTAACGCTCTTGTTTGATTTTGATTATGCAGTGGCTCATATTTTTTTTCTTCAATATGCAATTTTTCACTTCTGGGTTTTGTTCTTAATCAATTATCGGCTTTCGTAACCGAAGTTTCGTTATCTGGGTATAATCGAATTCTTCTATACGTTTCTGTCTTTCTCTATGCAGTTTTTATGTTGTTAGAGATTATCTAGACTGATTTTGGGATTCTTTTGGGATATTTGATGTTTTAAAGCGAATAAAATAAAATAGCATTTAGTCAAAAACTGTATAAGATTTGAGGGAGTAAAAACAACGAAAAAAAACCAATATTTCATCATCTTTTAGAATTGTATTAGCCCATATAGCTAAACACTTCAAAATTTAAACTTTTCTGCTGTTTCAATTTTGGTGTACAATTATATGGAGTTATTTGAACTTTTGGGTATTAAATCTATTGATATTCTCTAAAAGTTTTTGTGTTTCCTCTTTTTTTCTTTTTTCAGTTTTTATTTTTGCTGGAACTATATTACTTCAGTAGAAAATACTTTTATTTTTTAAGAAGGATATATATTTTGTCTGTTTTAGTGGAGTGTGTGATTATATGGGAGTTTATTTGTACTTTTATGTGTTGATATTTCCTCAAGTGTGGATGTGGTTCAAACTTCAAAAGCTTTGGTCTTCCCTCATTCTGTTAAAAGATTCCATGTCTTGTACCTTGATTGTTTAGGTTTGGGAAGCCATGGGAAAGGACTCAAAACTGAAAGAGTCGGGGAAGGGTAAAGGGAAACAAGCAGCAAGTGGAAGTGATGAGAATGCTTCAAAGGGTAAAGGAAAGGGTGGGAAGGCAGCAGATGGCCTTGGCACCTGCACCTATGTTAAAGGTTTTTTCTTTCACTGCGTTTTCGATAGTATTTTGGTAGCTTCAAATGTAGTTTTGTCATCTGTCTCTCGTCCTCTTTATTGTGGTGTATTTATCGTTTAATTTGTTTCAGCAAGGCATATCCTATGTGAGAAGCAAGGAAAGATCAACGAAGCATACAAGAAGCTCCAGGATGGTTGGCTTAGCAATGGAGATAAGGTCCCACCAGCTGAGTTTGCAAAGGTAACTCTTTATGATGCTATAATGTTTTAGGACCTTTGTCCCAGTTTTTCTATATTGTGGTAGGTTATCTTTTACTTTTCTTTTCCTGTTGATTTTAATTTTATCACTAGCCCGTAATTTCATTGAGAGTTTCAAAGTAATAATGATTCTTTTAAAGGGATTTTAAACTTGTCTCTATCAAGTTATGTCCTTGAATTGATTTTGATTATTCCTGTTAGTCTTCAAGGACTTATCTGTCTGCTTTAAGTGAGAGATCGAGATTGATATTTATGTTGTCATGCTGGCTGATTTTTATGATATCCTTCTCTCAAGTTGGACTAATATATAGATATCGGGAACTTCTACTTTTTGACCATACGATCAAGGGCTTATTTCTCCCTAGTTGTGGGATTACTGGACATGTAGTGATGCTCTGGCTTATAAAGTCATGACATCGTTAAAAATGTGGCCAGCCTCATGTCTTCATGAGAGTACATTGTACTCGAAATATTTTCCTTGTATATTCATTGTCATCATAGCAATTTGTCTTGTGCTTCTTTTGCAGTTGGCTCAAGAATACTCGGAATGTCCATCAGGAAAGAAAGGCGGAGATCTTGGGTGGTTCCCGCGTGGTAAGATGGCAGGGCCTTTCCAGGAAGTTGCCTTCAACACAGTTGTTGGAGCAACAAGTGCACCATTTAAATCAACGTAAGTTTCTCCGATACGTCGGAATTTGTAGGGCTCAAAGTTTTATGATAAGTTAAAAACCAACGTGACGATCATCAGTTAGTACATAGCATTGCTCATTTTGCTCAATTTTTCTTCTTTAACTATAATTTCTTGAATGGTTGCAGATTCTTATAGCTCAAGATCAGCTGATATAACATCATTTTTCTTATTTGTTATTCAGGCATGGTTACCACATAATCTTGTGTGAAGGCAGAAAGAACTGATTCTTTGCATAGCAGAATCAGCAGTGGATATAATATTATTGTCTATCCGAAGTCTGGTTTAGTTTTTCTTTTTTGACGCAAGGATGTTGTTTTCTTTAATGTATAAGATTATGACGTGGGGAGATGATGGTTTTCTGATTTGCTATGAAAATTCTCTCTGAATCCATACTTTGCACTTTGGTGGAACTTGTTCTTAAATAATTGACGTCCAAATGGGTTATTATTTCAAACTCCTACTAGACTCGCATATAACATATAGAAAGGGCATTATACATTTTCTTGCACAGTATATATGTTTTTCTATGGGTATTTTACGCATTTCTCCCTGGACTTGTATGCTTTTAGCAATTTGCTCTCTAAATTTTTAGTTTTGACAAGTTGCCCCCTAACTTGTAAAATTGTTACAATATATCATATTTTAACGATGATTGTATTAAATTAGTGTCGAAAAAGCATGTTTAATGAAAAATTTTAACGGCCCAATTTAAATGTAACAAAATCTTTTTATTCCTTAACTTTTAATATCTTAAATATAGCAAAACATTTTTAAAAATTTTGTAAAATAAGATAGGTTGCAATAATTTTATGAGTTCAAACTACAGAGGAGTAACGTGTTAAAAACCTTTTTTTAATTTCGTATATTTATCATTACAGTTGGTCCGACGTGGTAGGACTTTTGCATACATGGGAAGACGTCTGTTATCATCACTCCTGTTCTTGTTTTATTTTCGTTTTTAATCAGATCTTACACTCGAACATATTCTTATATGCAGGTTCTTGGATTGTTTAATTATCGATAAAAATCCTGGTTCTTTATTTCTTCAAATGTTTAAGCTGTTTACTTTGATAACATGAACTAAAATCTGATACGATGGAAAGAAAATAATGTTTTCATTTTTCTTTTCTTGGGAAATTGAGGAAATAAAGAAGACGGAAAAAGGATAAGGATAGAAAAAAAGATTGATTGTTCTCTCTCATCGCCAATATAATATATGTTCTCTCATCTAAAAAACTGATCATATGTAACCATCATTGGCCTCTGAGTAGAAAGTAGGATACATTTTAACGACACAGTACTCACTAACTCTATTTGTACACACCAAAAAATGCAAAAATTATGCATGGCAACTGACAACAACAAAAGAACAAATGCTCGATTACATCTCATCATAATGATCAACCAACTTTAGACCCCAGCTCATGTCCTCACAATGCCTCACATGAGGAACTAATTTTCCGGTGTCAATTCCTTGCTTAGCCTTGCAGTCATAGAAGGGTGGCGCATGGAAGCATGGCTCCATCGACATGGCACGTCGGCAAGGGGGATCAGGTGCCGTTCGATTCTCTGGCTTGTAGAGTATCCACGGCTTCAGCCCGCCAAGGCTCTGAGCCACATAGCCAAACGTAGACCATGAACTTGTGACCAAAACATCAGTCAAGCTCAGCAAGTACATCTCAGCAAGCGCCTTCTCGTTGTGCATCTGCTTCTCAGTTTGCTGATACTCCTCGTGACTCGGCTGGAAGATTCCAATCACGTCCCCCGTCACAGTTGGATGCTCCCAATACATGTCTCGGATCTTCTCAAAGTATCCCGAGGATAAAGATGTCATCAATACAACTTTAGACTTTGGAATTTTAGAAATGTTGATGATGGATTCTTGCCTGTCGATTTCTGGCAGTAGCTTCTCCTTGATGGTACATGCTAAGATCTGATCCAACACATGTTGGAATGGACCGGTACCATCGTCAAAGACTCTGATCTGAATGCCTATTCTTTCATCTGCATTGGCCAAATAAGCTTTATAGTATCTGGTAATCAGTCCCCAAACCTTATTTGTGGGATGAAGAAGATATCTACCCAAGAAGTGGAAAACTAGATCCTTATTTGGGAAGAGGTTATTCAGTTCTTGCTCAAAAGAAGGTATCAGGAAGAGAGATGGGACAAAGTAGTTATCTGTTTTCATGATCAACCAGGGTATCTTTTGTAGTAGAGTTTGATCTTGGTCGCAGAAGAAAAGCTTATCATGGAAATCATAATCATGGACAAGATGCAGATACAGATATGATGGAAACCTTGACTTGTCTGAATTTGCAAATTTGTTATCCTTAAGCATCTTTCCATAACAATGAGGAGTTTTTTGGCCAAAGCTGGCAAACTGATCTTTAAGGGGGAAATCCGTGGGAAGGAACCATGAGACTTCTGGGAATGGTTCGCAGAAAAGATCAGTCATGTCAACTCCAGGGTCAACAAGCAGAACCCGATTCGTGAGAAGAGCATAGAGAAATGCAGACCCCAAGGTTAGTATCCTATTCCCTAATCCACTGAAGGAAATCCACACAACATAGTTACAATCCAATGTACCAGTTTGGTGGCCAGACTTGAATTGCTTCACTGTTTTGTTGTAGGACTCGGTATAAGGTCCACATCGCTTGTGCAAAGCTTCATAACTTCTTAACCTGGAAATAAGGTAAGAAGAAGGTTTTTGTGGCGAATCTTTGCGATATGAAGCTGATTGGTATCTGCTAAGACAAGAACCTTCATCAAATCCAGCAGCAAGAAGGCCATTAAGCAGTTTATCAACTGGAACCTCAGCAATCCGAGATGGAGTATCCCCCGAACCTATAGCTGAAAAACAAAGATAGTCAATAAATACACAAAAATAGCTTAATATGGGTCACAATGAAACTTAGTTAAAGCATTTCTAATGCAATGCCAAAATTTGAAATTTGGGTAAGAATTTCATTATCCAATGTAACATTACACTTAATGTCAAATTTGACACATGTCGTACTTTTTGCCAAATTTAGCACCAAATAACATATACCAAAGTTTGACATTTGGTATCAAAATAAAACAACATATCAAACAAAAACTTTTTTTTTTTCAAATAATAACATGTCAAATATGTCATTTTCATTTTCTTGTCAAGTATGACATCGACATTAACATTTGCATATTGAAGATGATATTGGTAGACAGAAAGTGATCTCTGGAAGTAAGCACCAGTGATGACACTCATCAGTGAACAAATGGAAGGCCAAGAAGAAGAACATCAGCCAAGGCCACATCTAACAAATCATGATGGGAGAAAAAAGCTTGACCATGTAATCTAGATTCAAGGTTGTGATCCAAAAAGAAAAAAAAAGAAAAAAAAAAAAAAAAAAAAAAAAACAAAGAAAAAAAAAAAAAACAAAATTATTT